TCCACGATCCAAGAACTGTGTCCAAGTTCTAGTTCCAAGAAATGCGTAGCCAATCAACGTGCAGCTCTTCCGCAAGAGATGCAAGTTGATTGGCTGCACATTTTTCAAAACTAGAACTTTGACACAAAGCTTTAGGCCTTGCTGGGGCATTAAAAAGATAAAAGATAAAACAAGATAAATCAGATAAAATAAGGTAATAAGATTAAGTAATGCCCATTAGTGGGCATTGGTGCACAAGATTTTGGTCAGCGGTTTCCCCCTCAGCCACGACGCAGCAGCCCGACGAAAATATTAATTAACCGAATGCGATTGATACACGTAGTCTGACTTTTGGTATACATTGTACAGTTAATGTACACGTACATACATTAATTCATTTAAAAGTAATTTGTAATTGGTAACTTCACATGTCACGTAAATCAGAAGCGATGCAAGATTACAAGTGACATTTTTCCTATCACGCGTGTTGCTTCTGAAGAAAGCAAATGTAACTGTCTACTCTTTTTTTTCCGCAGGAAGGGAGATGAAATCCAGAAGCTCAGTGTCATACAAAGTCTACCAAGTCTTTTGGCCACCGACACGCAATCATGTATGTCTCGAGTGGTACCTAAGATGCAGCAGTCCCTGGCTACTGCATCGCCCGAGTTTCACATAGCAGCGTCGTCCACATTCAAAACCATTTTGGAGCAGAAGCTTGTCAGCCATAATGTTTTTAGTCAGACATTCCTTCAGAGCATATTAAATTCTCTAGAGAGCCGCGACCCAGGTGAGCACGTTTCACTTTCAACAATTTCCACCTCAGAATGCGCGGCATTTTATAGTTTAGAGTCAAACATTCCGTCCACCGTCACGGTATCTGTCCCTAACTTTCATTGTGTGTCTCAATGTTTAAGTTATCTGTCATGCGTGGTTGGAGACCTTACTGGATGTGATCGAATTACTGCCGGTAGAAGTCGTAAGAGCACAGGTTTGTAAAGGCAACTTGAAAAGTTGACGCATTTACTTAGATAGATGGGAAAGAAAACGGGTCTTCCGTTTCCTTAGCGCATATCGACAAAAGCTAACTTTATAACGAGACTAATATATGGATGTAATCAGCGGTGTTTGCAAGTAGAAACTTACAAAGAAAGCATCGTATATGTACTATAGAGTACAATGTGTTTGAGATATTAAATGTAACGCTGTAAATGTAACGACGTAGCTGCACTCTTTTTGGATGGATGATAACAAGAACACTCTCACATACAGATTCTTCCATTGACTATAAGTAAAGGACAATTGTCACAACCCATCTACTCCAGGATAACGTGCAGCAGGTTATTGGGAAAGATCTGTACGCGATTTGATTCTGCCATGTGAGTATATTCACTTACGTATCTTCACGTTTCTTGCGTGTAATAAAATCTTTATGTGTCTAGTTGCGCAAATTATTCGATAGTATTTAGTGGAATTAATTTAGAGATCATATTGACCAGACAATTTCTCAGTATTATAATACATTTTTGTGTCATTATTAAGACCAAAAATGTATATAAAATATTAAAATAATAGATAATTCCTTACTTATAGAGGTAAGTCCTCTGTTATGAGACAGCAGGTTTTCAACGTCCAAATTTAATCGCAAAACTTTTTTTTGTGACAATTACATGATCTAGCAATGAATATTCCACTAAACAGATTTCGCTCCAAGGGCTACCAATTTATTGTGGAATCAACTGACGATGCCTATTAATTTAACAGAAACTCCACTATCCCATATTAGGATTCTATCTCATAATAGGGAACTTTCCTCTACATTCTATTCAATAGATAAATGTGTTATTAAAATTTCTTTTAATTAGGATACAGAAGGAAGTTCTGCCAACGGTACACTCCCTCTGTCAGGATGTAAGCAGTGAAGTGCGAGGTAGTATTTGTTTGCAACTGCGCTTTGTTGCGGAAGGTCTCGGTGCTGAGTCTGTAAAACCTGCTTTGCTACCATCTCTTGTAGAATTAGCGAGTGACGAAGAAATCAGTGTAAGATACGCCTCTGTACAGACAATAGTGTATTTACTACCTCATCTTCAGGAAGGTGAGTTATTGCACATTGTAGAGATACTTTGTTTATCGATAGTAGCTGTATAGATGCCGTTATATCGTGACAAATTAAGTGTCAAACATTAATTCGACTCTAAATTATTTACAGATACGATAAAAAATATAATAGCCCCACTTGTTAAAAAGCTATGTGAAAATGCGACTAAATCGGAAGATAATATGATATGTATAATAGCGGAAGAGCTGGGAAAACTTGTACTTGGTCTAGAAAGTAAGAAGTAACCTTTGTATTTATATTGGCTGCGCTACGTGTTTAAATAATGATATTCAAATGACAGAAATGGCATATATATATGATACATCTAATTTCAGAGTGTTTGTCAGTGTCAGAGAAAGCATGGTTCATAAAGTACTTTCAACAACTTGCACAAATGGGAATACCATCACTGAAGAAAGAGAAACCACGCTTTACGTTTGTGAGTATATATACGTAAAATATATACACGAAATTATTTTTGTGTAAAATCTTGTTGCAATATAAGTTAATGTACAGTTTTATTCATTAATGCCTGGACCTGCATTTTTCTCATCATTTTTCTCATCTATACAAATCACTGGAGTTTCAGGCTGTATGCACGCACTATCACTATTACACAGACTTCTATAGAAGCTGTGTAAACTACAACCTGAAACTCATCGATGTATAGGTGGGAATAAAGATTGTGAAAATGTGAATCCTAGTAAAACTGAGGTCCAGGCATTAATGAATAAGACTACAGTATCACGTATTAAAGATAATTTACAAAGTTTACCCATAAATTATGTTATTTAACTAGTAATCAAAAAAGATACTGACATATTATTCCTTAAATTATGACACGTTCAATATTAGTAGTAAAATTTTGTAGATGAGCAGCGCTCCTGCACAAGATGAAAGACATGTTGAATGCAGAAGGCACTGTGCATTTAATTTGCCAGCAATGTTTATCTTTGTATCAAGTTCTCCGGAAGATGTAGATACAATACTTGCAATATTTGATGCACTAACAAGTGATCATTATTATTTGGTTCGGAAAACTGTTGCGTGTGGAATTCATGAAGTAAGCTTAAATATACGCGTATTATAACAAAAATCTACAGATCTAATACAATTATCATTTGTAGGTGGCAAAGGTTCTAGGGCCGAAAAGTGCACGAATAAAGGGAAATTTAATAAAATTGCTAAAAGATGATTCTGAGGAAGTACATCAAGGTTTAATTCCTCATATAGGCTTAACACTGGAATGTCTAGTCGAAAGTCAAACTATTGGGACAGATAGAATGGTAATTCAATTCTATAATACAGTTTGTAATTCGCAATAATCCCATTTCTAAGATATTATATTATTCGTTACAGGATTCTTCGTTGATGGAAATAGGTAAAGCTTTGTTAAAATGCGAGGCTGAAGTTGCGGGCACAAACAATTGGAGGCTGGCATCATTAATGCATGCGCAACTAGAGATTTTACCTAAATGTTTTCCCAGTGATTTTATATACTCGTACTTTATTCCAATGGCTTTCTCCAGAATTTTACATGCGGTAAGTCTACAAAATTGTATTCTTTACAATTTTACAGTTTCATTAAATATGTACATTTAATTTTTTTATTTTAGCGACCGATACCGGTACGTCTTGCTGCAGGAACGCTTTTCCTTCTCCTTTTGCGATACAACATGAAACCTATACAAAGAGCGGAACTGCGTAATAGAATCTTTACAGATTTGGCCAATAATTCTGATTGTTACGTGAGAATGATGTTTGTTCGTATGATGGTCGAAGCGCTGGAAATTTTTTCTTCTACATATTTTAAGGAACATTTTTTCAATGTTTTATTGAATCTGGCTGAAGATCCGGTAGCCAATATAAGAATGAAAGTAGTATCTTTACTGCCACAACTGAAGAATCAGCTGTGGATGCCGACCGACAAGAAATTGCTAACATCACTGGAGTCAGTTGTGAGACATTTGGTCAACAATGAGAAGGATAGAGACGTATTATTTATTTTAAAAAGCGTTACACAAAAGTTAGACGACATGGATGTCAAGTATGAAGGCCAAAGTGTAAGTAATTTAATGAAATATGTGTAAGCTATTAAGAAAGTTATCTAAATACAATGTTTTTTTATAGTTAACAATAAAGCTTACTAGGCAAGATGTGGAAGATGCCAAAAAGTTGGAAGAAGAAAAGAAATTGTCAGGAATAGGTGTAGGAAAACCAACAAGTGGAACTGTAGTAAAGAAAGGTATTATTAAATATATACTATCTCTGATGTATGTGATCTATCTACTATCATATACTATCTACGACGTCTGTTATCTTTGTTGCTTGAACACAAGTAAAAACTAATTTATATAGATTACATATGATAGATAAGGAAATTCTTAACTATGAAACGTGGCTATGTTCATACAAATATATTATTAGTTACACAATTTAGATTTTGAATCGCAAAACGTATTTTATTGCATACAACTGTTCCTTATTTAATGATAATATGTAGCAATAATCAAAACTTTTTAACTTTTATAAGCAATTAAAAGTGTTTAATGATAATATTAATTAGAAAAGATTATAATATAATTATATATATAAATATTTGCTAAGAATTGGAATAATAATTTGAATAATTTATTCAGGTTGGACAAGAGCAGGAACTGATGGTTCTACAAGAGGAGTGTAAGTTTAAAAATTTTAATGATACTAAATTATAAAATAATAATAGTAATAAAATCTGTTATCAGATCGTTACATATTATTATCTTTTATTAAAGTTATGCAAATCTATGTTTCAGATCACAGTCGAAAGGTGAGCATTTAGTGAAGAATAAGGAAGCATTGCATGAAACAAAATCATTACTAATAAAATGTAAGCAACTCATATTATTTAATGATAACAGAAGTTGAGAAGCGGAAATTTGTATCCAAGTAAACCTGTCGTCTTGCAAGCCTAAGCCATTTTTCAAAGTACAAATTTTTAATTTGCGTTAATGATTGAAGAGAATAATTAGTTAATTGATCTTCATGCTAATCAGTTAAATAAGAGAAGAAATTAATGAGACCGCTAGTAGTAGCTATTGATCATTCTTAATTGTCTTAAGTAAAATAATGACGTTTTACAGATGGAACTGCATCTTCGCATCAAGTAATCGAAAATTTAAAAACGAGGTAAGGAGGATTTAACTTGGAAAAGAAACATAATTCAGAAGAGTATAAAACTAATGCATGTTTAAAGATAACATAATTAGTTTTATATGCTAAAGTCAAAATTTTTTAATTAATAAATTTTATGAATAGCTAAATATATTTAATTATTTATTAATTAAAGACTTTTTATTAATATGTGCTAAAGTATGAATTAGTGTTCTGTTAACTCCTGCCAGACTAATTTTAAGTTATGTCTGCTTTATATTTAACAGAATCCAACTAACACATCCGTGGGAAAAAGTAGGGCATTTCAACTCACATACTAATACATCGCAATTTAACTTTGTGAATGGATCCTCTAATGATTATATTACACCTAAGCCGCAATGTAGCTGCTCCAAGTTAGCGGTATTCCAGGCTCTCTTGTCATTGCCGGATGCTTGTGAACAAGAGTATGAGAGCGACTCCCAATACCATTCATATTACGATACCGACAACGATCACGCAAAGTTCAGAAAGCAGTCAGTCCAAGCGAACGAATATAGTCCCTCCGCTTTTACCAAATCTTTTTTTCTGTCTCTTGTAAAAGAGAATAAGCAAGAGCCGCAACAACAATCTATACTAACACGGGAGGATTATCCGCATGAATTTTCTACTAACATTAGTGGCAAGGATAGAGCGCCTAACTTCGCCGCTTTAAGGGCACTAACAAACGCAGCTCACTATAATTCATGTTGGGCTTTTAGCTCGATGCCGGAAATCTCTATGATGCAGTCAGACGATGAATTCCTGGTAGATGCTGGTATCAGGATACCCACCCAATTGTCCACGTCTCAAAGTACATCGAAAATCCCGCATTTGCAAGATTTTATTGCAACAAGGAGGCAACTAAATACTACTGCGATTCGGTCTAGACGAAACAGTATGAATTTCGATAAGGGAAAGTTTAAGAGACATTCCTCCGTTGAATACGAAGATTGTATGAAACGTAGGACAAGTGAGAGTGACTCGTCGAGAAGCACATCAATTTCGATAGATTATGAAGAGGGTTTGCGACAGCGCAGCATGGTGAAGGAGAATTTGAGCGACCAACACTTGTCGTCCAAGACTGATATGAGAACTAAAAGATATTCCACTCCGCATGGAAGAACTAGATTCGGATGGGACGTTAGCCAAGAGAGATCTCTAGACGAGAAATTGAAAAGAAATTCTTTGATACTGGATAAAGAGAAATTGAAGTTTAATAACTCTAAATGCGTGCTGGATCGAACTAAACGTCATTCCACGAATTTCAGTTTGAAGCTTCCCGATACTAAAGAAACGAAGCAGCTCGTGAAGCGTCATAGTTTCGAGGATCATACCACGGTACGTCGTGCTATAAAAGGATGTTTCTCAACACTGGACGTAAATCACAATCAGGGTCTTAGTAAAATCCCCTTGAGAAATGTTGAATCTCGTAGCAGGACTGCGCCTGCCACCAGAGCGTCTAGCCCTGTACATGTAGAATCGCGATTAAGATTTGACATTGAGAACTGTGATGACTCTCGAAATTCTGTTGATGACAGACACTTGAATAGATTTAGCTCGAGTGATGAAGAGGTCGACAAATTATGTAGGATGCTATTACATTCTCAAACGGCACAGAGTAGTACAGGAATAGCATCAAGAAGTAGGGAAAGATATCCTGTTCACTTGTTGATGAAAAAGTTATAAACAGTATAATTCTGTTATATATCACATAATTTCTACAACTCTTCCACAACTGCATTTAGTGACCATACTTGATGAGCTTCGTATACAGCTTTAAATTTAATTAAGAGGTCTAAATAAGGAGGTCTAAGCTGATTGAAAATTATACATAATAGTTTTCTTTGGAGTTTTTTTTTGTTTAAGCAAAGCTTGTGATTCTCGGTAGAAATTTTATTAGCACAATTTATCCTTATAAAACAAATTCTTCAGTAAGTCATTGTATGACATTGCAATCAAATGTATTCTCATAATGTTCAATGCCGATGAAATATGATAGAGCTTTATTTTTAAACTATGTACAATATGTACCGCTAATATTTTGGTTAAATTTAAAATTACATATCTTAACATAGAACGTTATTGATAATTTATTGAAATATGAGATTCTAGGAAATCAAATCTTATAAATACAATTATCTGAAAAAAGTTGGCATAAGAATCATTTTGAGAATATATTAAAATTTTTATTTTATTGACGCTAATGAAATTATGCTTAAAAATAACAGTCTTATGAATTGTTAACATATCAATTTTGTATTATTGTTTATGATCTACTCTTAATGATATGTATTTTTAGAATTTGGTAAAAAAATTTGGCAGTTTCTCTACATTGTGCCTTTCCTATATGATTATTTTATTTATCTAATTTAATACAAATATTTATCAATTTTGTTTTATTAAAGCTTTTACATTTTATCTTATTATTTTTAACTTGAAATTAGAGATAATTACTTATACAAACAGTATTGTGAAGTGTAAATTGGTGCAACAAGACATGTACTTTATTTTATTAGATATTTATGTCTCATATGATATTGATTGCCTGTGAAATAGCTATGTACTTACGTACGATAAGATAATTACGTTAATTTTAGTTATGTTATTTGTTGAATCAAATTATACTCTTCGTAAAAATATCTTTATGTCTCAAAGAAAGTCATGCATTCTGACTTTACATTGAAGATAAAAACTTGCACGCTTATTTCGAAAGACTGTTTGTTAGATTCTGCGATTAAAAATTGTATAAAATGGAAAAAAGAGAGAAAAGGAAATTTTTATTTTACTGGAAAGCTGCGTATTTAATAATATTGACCTCCATCACACAATAAGGCTATAAATTCTAATCATTAATAATACTAGAAATGGTTATTGTTGTGAAACTGGATTATTCCAGAGTTTAATATAAAATATTATTTAATGAAAACAGATTTTCAGTACTCTCAAAACTAGCACTAGGGTCTAGTCTCTATATAGTTCATGAAAGGTCTGGAAAGATATAGTCATGATTTGAGAAGAATAAATTGTTATCGTTTTTCTAATCTATACTTCTTTGTATCTATTCATCTTAAGTTTAAGTTAATTATTTACACCAAGATTGACCAAAGAGGATGAGACAGTATGATTTAATAAAAAAGAAATCATTCTGTACAATTCACAATGATATGTATTAATATTTAGGAAAACAACGTTTAATTTTGATAAATTATATTAGTTATAAACAATAAATGAAAACTAAGATAATAATAATTAAATCTATTGAAAAATGCGAACTTTAAGTGTACGTTCAATTTAATTTTGTTTATACAAACTTCAAATTATGACTATATTCAGAGAGAGAGAGTGTGTGTGTGTGTGTGTGTGTGTGTGTGTGTGTGTGTGTGTGTGTGTGTGTATACATATTCGTGCATACATATATGTGTGAATTAAGTACATTTTAAGATTTTTATTTTCCTTGGTTAGTTTATCAGTTTATCACTTTATCGAAATTATTTTATCTTAGCAAAAATATAAAATAGTTTTATTGTGAAATTTTAAAAATTAAAGGATTAAATTTACAGGAAACAAAGACTTAGTATCAAATATCTTAATACATTTTAATTGCAATTAGATGTACTTGATTACGAAAATATATAAAATATTTTTAAGCTGAAGAGAGAGAGAGAGGTTTTAATAATATATAATGTACAAAGTTTTGAAGGCATTATGTATTTCTATGTATGAAATATGTTAAAAAAGGTATATGTATACAATTATTGGGTTTGTCTTTTACATATCAAAAATTGGAATTTACTAATTAAGTTTTTGTAACATAATTATTTCTCGTCTACCTGATTTTATAAGAAAATTTGCAAACCTTTCTTCCGGTTATATAAATACACACGGTCGGTCTCGCGCGCGCGCGCTTACACTTGGCGCGAGACACTACCGTGTCTCGTGATAATAAATAATTTTACTCTGAAATAAAAATTTTTTTAAACAGTTTTTTAATGCTTCACTAAATAAATTTTTTAACCACAATACAAAAGATTTCAAATTTTAGTAGTTTAAAAAGTATTGGATAATTTCTCCCAAAAAGTATAATTGTAAATTTTATACCTTTCTTAATATATTTTGTACATATATTTACATTATATTATGTGAGCTTTACAATTCAAGTGCCATCGAATTTATTAAACAGTTTAGCACATAGAGCATTTTCGGTATGGATTACGGTGAAGTGGGAAATGCAGATTTAAAAGTTTATGTTTTACATATTTTGTTACGTTAGTATGTCGTAATAAAAATGTAGTAATAAGAGTTTATAAAAATTTAGGATAAGTTCTTACAGTGACATTTGTTTAATTATATATAACTGAATTTTTGTTATATATTGTTATAAGACTTCTACGTTTTTTGATTATCTTTCGTTGTTTCTTTTATGTGCAAATGCATTTATCTGCAAATATAATTTACTATGAAATTAGTTGTAAACATCGTTTCTAATGATACCCTAGTTTGCTGCATTTCAATTCAAATTTGTACGAATATTATATGAGATATGATAAATGAAGTGCCGGAAATTTGAAATGAACACATTACTTTTTCGAAATGAATTTTGATACTATACATATCGTATAGACACGAATATTGAATAATTTTGATCTCTATGAAGATCAACAATATATTGCATCTTTTCTGCACAACTAACAATAATTAGCGACGGCTTATAACTCGATTAAGTTTCGATAATACAAAACACAACAATGTAATGCTGACGATTGTCGTGATAGAACACCATGTGTAATAATCGATGTAATAACGTGCGTATATTCTCAAATGCACATATAAAAATATTTTTTGTAGTTTAGTTTGCGCTCTCTAGTTCCTTAATTACGGTCTATTTATAAGCAAAGTAAACGTATTCACTACTTAAAAAAAAACCGTATAAGAGAAATGGACAATTTAAAGAGGCATATTGATATAAATATTTAAATATACCGTTAGGAGCTACACGAAGAGAGGCTCGGTAGTACGAAGTAAAACAAGTTAATTTGAAGATCGTATTTGAATGATAGAAAGATCAAAATAGGTACAATTTTGTCTTTAAACTGCTTAAATATCATTATTTATTTTTATATAAATATATGAATATATAAATTAACTTTTACGCCAAAAAGCAAAGAGAAATATATGAATAGCAAAAGTTACCCCAAAGTTTACGCACTGTTAAATTGTTTCTATACATATAAGAGCGATTTATTAAAAATGTAATACGCGTTTATTACACACATATTATATTATTTTAATATACTTATATACATATATATTTGTAGATAAGTAAGCGCGACATTTTCTCCAATTAACTGTGAAGATTATTTTGATTCAAGCATTGTGTACCGCATTAGAAAAAATGAAAACTGTGATGACAAAAAGTTACTTAATAAAAGAATTAATCATGTTATACTAACGAACATATGGAATCGAATATTTGTGAAACGATATTTTTATTACTCATACTACTCCTATAAAAATAAGACATATGTGAAATTGTATTTTTGTGAAGTATATCTGTAATAAAAATATAGTTAATGCGAGAGAAATACGAGTTTCGAGCTACAGATTATTGACATTGTCAAATACGCTTCGATAATATACGTTTATATTATTAATAAACTTAAAACGTGTCGTTGAATATCTTCAATTTATAGAATTTTTATTCAATTAGACACAAACGATTTAGTCTTATAGTTTCTTTATAGTTTTTATCACCAATGAAGAGCGTTCTTAATTAAAAATATCTGCTATCAGTATCTTAACAATTAATTTATTACGCGGTATTAATATCGTGATTTATTTTACCGATTATTTAATAAATAAGCGTATATGTTTTGCGATCTAATAAAATGTGTTGCTGTGAGATTGTTTTCTTTTTCTCTTTTCTTGTTCTCTTTCTACGATTATCACCCGCAACATTTCTCGTCTACAGCTAATAAAATTAATCAACAGAATGTAATACACTAATAGGTACAATTTGTATCTTTATTTCCGAGTTTTCTAAAGATATAATAGTAGAGAAGAACATAAAAGTCAATAGATGAAGAAGAGAGAATAATAGAATAATAAGATAATAATAGAATAAGATAGAGTAATAAAATAACAGCAGAATAAGAGGATAGAAAAATAAGAAGACCCTCCACCACCCCCGCCCACTTCAGTCGGTGGTCCTCTTCAGATGTGCTTTTGTATTTTTATTTTTCTCATCAACGTCTTACGTCTTCTGTCGATTCATGTAATATACCTGGCATTAGTACCTAACACTGTAGTTTCAATTTAATTACAGTCATAATTTTATTTTCACTTTTAGAGAAAATTCTGTCTGGCAAAAATGGACCAACCTATAGAGGCACTTCACCACCCCCACCGTTTTCAATTGACGGTCCTCTTTTTCTTATCTTTGAAAATGTTCTTGAGTGCTATTTTTTGCTCCTTTATTATTTATAATTTTTTATAGATATTATTTTATGTGCATAAAAATTTAATAAAATATAAAAACTACAATATGATTAATTATCGTCTCATGACAATTTACCTGAATTTATATAAAAATATTTGAGGTTTATATAAAATGAAACAGATACTGCGCGCGCAGGCTGTTCCGTTTTTACCAGATATGATTGCTATCAGAGATATATATATTTATACCTTAATAATTATTTTAGTATAATTCAGTATACTTTTAGAGTTTTTATTAAAAATCTAGTAATGATGAATATAATTATATTTGTAAGTATTATATGTGTATATAATATTTCATAAAGATAATAAATACATCGTATTAATTATATTACAGTTATTCTTTTATCTATCTCTTTTAATTATCGAGTTCTGTCCCCCTGCGCCTGCCTGCCCGAATACTTAATTATTTACTCGTATTTCAATATATGGTTCTACCCATAGACATAGTATATCTAGACTGCTGGTTCTCTCAAATTTCAGGAGTGGGGGTAGAGCTCACGTAGAAAAGGATGCACTCTGTTTCGTGTCTGTGCGTTCTCTCTCGCACAGGTTAGTAACTGCTTCCCCTTATCCCCTCTTTTCGCGTGTGCGAGAGAGAACGTTCAATGCACGAAACAGAGTGCATCCTTTTCTACGTGAGCTCTACCCCCACTCCGCCAACCAGCAGTCTAGATATACTATGTCTATGGTTCTACCTGTCCATTTTCTTGACTATCCGCATCCCTATAACCTGCCCGTATTCCGCTGTATAGTCTTATTTATCCATTTTCCTGCCTACTTGCGTTTCAAATTAATAAATCTGCAAGTCTTTCGTTAATACCGCGACGCGATTTATAAACGACTCGGTTTAGGCTTTTAATCCGTGCGCGATTGGAATTTGATAGTGGTTTTTATTCTCGCACATGCAAGAATATGTAAAGAAGGAAAGAATATAACACACCCGAATTTTTGCTCACACATTCGCGCTGTATACTTCGCGCTTATTAGTTTATTAAATAAATTATTCAAATAATTTAACAAGGCAAATGTGCGATCTCAATATTTACTCTGTCAGCCCAACAAAGCGTGTCTCTGTCGACAGGCACAATCGGACCTTTAAACGAAGGGTGAAAATTAGAATTCTTTAAATACCTTCCGCAAAGCTCTCACCTGCTTTCCTCGAGGAACCGCCGAAACATTTAAGTAAGGGACACATTGGTATGTAACCGCACTTGCTCGTCACTCGTGGATTCCCCGACGGATTTTCCGATTCCACGAAATAA